AAAGACCCTCCTAGCTATAACATTCTATTGTACCTTCCAGCTCTAACATTCCATGTTTTAATGACCTTCTCAACTTTTATAGTCTATGTTAGTGCCTTTCAGTTCTGTGATTTTATGGTCTAAATCATCCAATTTCCATCATTCCAAAACACACCATTCTGCGAGCTTCTGGAACTGGTCTTCCCTCAAGGCTGCCCCTCTCTGGGGCCCCTCTGCTAATGGAAGGCTGGGTATGCATTCCTTGTTCCAATGACCCTTCCAGCTCTAACATTCCACAGGAGAATGACCCTTCCAAGCCCAGCACTGAGTCACGGCTTTCCCCTAGTCTAAGCACAGTCTCCGAGAATTCCCCAAACTCTGGCTCCGCTCCCACCACCGCCACGGGCCTGGCTCTAGACAACGAGATCTCTGCAACCCGAAGGCCCAGAACTGTCTCTCTGCTCCTGGCCGTGCATCCTCTCTGGCTGCTCGGGGACACCCCCACTTTCCGCTGCCACGACACCTGTGGAGCCTCCCACGCGGGAGTGGGAATTAGTTACCTCTTCTTCCAGCGTCCCCGCGAAAAGGATAAAAGCATCCAGACCCTCAAGAAAGACAGAGACAATGAGGAGTAGAAATCATTGTCCCTGGTGGGGGGGAACGAGGAGGTCTGTGCCAAGTTCTGACTTCTCCCACCTCGCTCCTCCACTCATTTCTAGAGGCCCACGTGGTCACATCTATTTAATAATATCTATATCCCATTTAGGGGAATAAAATTAAGGTTTTATTGGCATCCAAAATAGATCAGAATAAGATCGCACCCCCCTCCCAGCACAGATGGTACATTCCAGCCTGGGTCGACTTCTGCCAAGCTGTCCCTTGAAGCATGGCTGCTTACAGGGAAGTATTTGGGTTTTGAGAAGTTTTACCTATCAGATTGTATTTTGCATATAGTCATTGACTACAAGTCATATGACCTTAGGACTGAGAAACCATCTCAACTCCACCCCATCCCCACCCCACCTCAGTTTTTTAATTAATAAATTTTATTTCGACTTATTTATTCCCAACAAACTCATAGTTATACCCAATACTCAGTACAGTTCTGGGAAACAGTTATGCAAACAACCTAAGAGTGTGATTAGGGATCACATAGTACTTACACTTTTTACAGTTTACTGTTTGTTAAAATAAAAGAAAGATGTGTGTTTTCTCTTTAATAAATTGTTAACAGCTGTCCATTTAGAAAATCTGGTTTGTTGCCCTTTAAAGTTGTCTTCATTTATATAACTGTAAGCACTGTGCAATTAAAAAGATTGCTTTCTTCAGTCTTTGGGCTTCATACAAGTCTTCCTCATATGCCTCAGCCTGGTGTAGTAGAAAGAACTGTAGATCTGGAAGTTCTTATGGTGGACCGTGTAGCAGTCTGAGCTTCTGTTTACAACTCTGCTGTAAAAAGCAAGCACTGATTCCAATAACACCTACCTCACAGGGTTTGTTCCTTACCATGCGATGACATGCCTTTGACGTTTATTAATGTTAAAGACATTAAAAAGCATAGGAACAAAAACATCTTCCCTTCATATGATCTAGAGCATTTATTTAAAACCAAGAGCTGTTAATCATATGTAATAGAACAACACTAGAAGCTTTCCCACTTAAGAGTGACATAATATGAGTAAGATGGCATGATTATTATTGATTTTTCCATATATTTATCTAGCTATCTCTCTTCCTCTTCTCTTTTCTCTTTCCTAACTCAGTTAAATGGTGTTGCAGTAATACAAAATTCTATAAATATTCAAAGTCATTGTTAACAGTTGCAGCTGGAGGATTCACTCTCTTTTCAGAGCAATGGATCCCAAAGTGTCAGTAAACATAATGCCATATTCATATAGTTGTAGACATATAGGATCTCCATCAGAGATGGGAAGTGAAGCAGTTTTAGTGTGGTCTGGATTGGAGAGAAAAGATAGAGTTTCAAGGACAAATTTGATGGTCAAACAGTGGCCATAGTCTTGGCAACTGGCATTGAACAGGAGAGAGATTTGGGACAAAATTATGCTATTTAGCTGTTCATAAGGGCATCTGTGATGCTATATGCATAGGAGGGATAGTCATGTCTGAAACATAGAAGCCCAACTCTTATCTATGAAAACCCAAGGAGGACAGAGAATGATCTTGGATATAAGAGAAAAACCAGTGTTTCATTTCTTTTTCTTCAGCTTAAAAAAAGGTAAATCAGTTCTAGTCTGATTTTTAATAGGAAAATAGTTTGTAGCTTAAGTTAGACTATGATAAGCATTTATAATACCAAGCAGTAAATACAATAAGAAAACAAGATAAGGCAGTTTTTAGCCATTGGTTTGAATTTTTCTAATGCAGTGGTTAGTTCAAAATCTTCCCTTCCCTCCAACTTATTTTTTTTAATTAATTTTCTTTTGCTGTTCCTTTTTCTTATTTATTTTTTTATTTTTTGGCTAGGCAGTTGGGTTAAGTGACTTGCCCAGAGTTACACAGCTAGTAAGTGTTATGTGTCTGAGGCTGGATTTGAACTCAGGTCCTCCTTAATCCAGGGCCGATGCTCTATCCACCGCACCACCTAGCTGCCCCTGCTGTTCCTTTTTCTAAAAAAAAAGTATTTCTTTACTTTGTCCTCCTCATTATTTCTCTTCCCTTCTAGTCTATTCTGAATTTTATTTTCTGATTTGTAGGCTATACCTTTATTCTTATACATTATTCTCTCTATGTCCCTCAAGGGCTGAAAGCTTCTAAAATAGCAGGTTTAACTTGCCTCTTCCAACCAGTTTCTCTGTTATTGATTGCCTTAATAGATCTTGTCCAGTCTTCCCTTTTTCTCTGCTGTGTTTCAGCTTCAGAAGTTTCAGTCCATGAGGGAAGTGGTGTCAGGCAGAAGCAGTGGTATATGGTGGAAATTTCCCTGCCCCATGTTATGTAGCCCAGCCTGATCCCCATAATTAGTCACTATTAGCAGAAATAAAAGGAAAAAGAATTAAAGGAATAAGCATTGAAGAAGAGGAGGCTAAATTATCTCTATTTGTGGGTAATTCGATAGTTCACTTATGTAACTCATGCCCCAGTTAGTCATGGGCTCCATGCAAATTACCCCAGGTTCAATGAAATAATATATGTACAAACCTTAAAACACTATAAAGTGCCATTACTATTATTAGAAAAATTTAGACATGCTTCAATCTAATTTAACAAGCACTTATTATGTGTCAGGTGCTGGGAATACGGAGACACTAACAACAAAATGCAGCAGTCTCTGCCCAGGACATTCTACTGGGGGTGAAATAGCTCATATAGAGAAAGTAAATACATAACATATGTGCAAAGTAATTGTTTTTTTGGTGAGGAGTGAGGGACAGGAATGAGGAAAGCACTAATAACTGGATATGTCAAGAAAGGAAATTTTAAAATTTCCTAATAATTACAGCCGTGTAAAAGTGGCATGGGGGGCCTGGGGAGGGAGTCAGTTTCCTCTTATTAGAGATCATTAAGAAAAAGCTAGATGAAAAAAAAAAGGGAAAAAAAAGGCTAGATGAGCTTTTTTCCATGTATGCTGTAGGAGGGATTCTTTATTTTACCTTCAAATTGATTTAGTAAGGAAACCTTTGTAATGGTATCAGTGTGATTGTTAATGGTATCAGATTTAATGTGGCACACATTTTCAGCTTTTGCTTTTGGAGTATTTTGGAGTGTTTGTGTTTAGAATCAGTGGACCACAGTAAAATGAGGGGGTTGGATTAGATGACTTCTAAGGACCTGGCTAGGTCAGTAATAACAGCTAAGGTAGCAAAGCATTTTACAAATATGCTCTTATTTTATTCTCACAAAAACCCTGGGGTGTAGGTGCTATTATTGCCTTTATTTTGCAAATTAGGAAATTAAGGCAAATGGGGTTAAGTGACTTGCCAAGGGTCACACAGCTAGAAAATGTTAAAGATTGAATTTGAACTCAGGTCCTCCTGACTCCCAGGCCAGTCCTCTGGCTTCCCTGTACCAACTAGCTGCCTAAAAATCCTAAGAGGCTGTTTTATTTGAAAAGTGACTAATGTTATTGGTTAGGCCTTAAACAAACATACAAACAAACACCCCCACTATAGTCATCTGTTTTCCTTAAAAAATTTTTTTTCATTAGAAACTGCACCTCAGACATTTATACAAATATCTAAACCCCCTTGGGCCTATTTATACTCAATTACTTACAAGGCATAGAGTATCCTACTCCTTTTTCTGCATGTCTCCTCATTAGATTGTAAGCTCCTTGAGGGCAGGGATTGTCTTTTTCCTCTATTTCTATCCCCATAGCACAATGCCTAGCACATTTGTTGTTCAGGCATGTCTGACTGTGATTTGGAGTTTTCTTGGCAAAGCTACTGGAGTGGTTATTTCCTTTACCAGTTCATTTTACAGACGAGGAAACTGAGGCAAACAGAGGTAAGTGACTTGCCCAGGGTCATACAGTTAGTGTCTGAGGTCGAATTTGAACTCAGGTCTTCATGACCGCATGCACCGTGTCCTATCCACCACCTAGTTGCCCTGGGCCCGGCACATAGCAGGCACTTAATACATGTTTGTTGACTGATTGATCTCAAGCCCCGATTGGAAATTCTTTGTCCTTCCATTCTTATTCACTTTTCTTCATATGGTGGATGGTCAAGCTAGTAACATGTTGTTTACTCCGTTTCCATTTTTCTAGTTTTGCTTTTCTAGCTTTGCATTATTCCGTTAGTGTTTTCCAGATTTCTTTGCATTCCTCATACTTGCATTATAGAATTTCATTAAATTGAAGGGATTTTTTTTTTTTACCTGCACGTTGGACTACAGGGTGTTTGTGGATCCTCGTGATCCTGTTCTTCAGGACTGGCTCAGGACGCTGACCAACCCCCACACATAAAGTTAGGAAGGAAAGCCCCAGGCTTCGCTATCCCCTTTCCATTCCTGTCATCCAGAGCACAGTCTCCCTTTCTCTGGCCACCAGGGGACGCTGATTCTAAAGGGCCTCCGGGATGGCAGCTCTGGCCTCTTCCTCTCGTTGCTCCTTCCTGAAGGAGGGAGGCGGGGCTTACGGAGAAGGGCGCTTTGCACTCTGGGTCGGCGTAGCCATGGCGGCCCGTGTCCTCTCCGCCTGTGTCCGCCGCCTGCCCGCGGCCATTGCGCCGCCGTCCCGGCCCCGGGGCCCCGCACTCGCCCTGCTCCGGCCTCTCGGCTCGGTCCCGTGCGCGGCGGCGGGGCGGAGGAGGAGGGCGGCGGCGGCGGTCCCGGCCGTTGCGCACATGCAGGTGAGGGAGGCGGAGCGGGGCGGGCGGCGCGGCGATGACTTTGCCCGGCCCGCAGGGGTCACAGCCTGGCCGGGCCCCGGGGGCCGTGGGGGAGGGCGCCGCAGATGGGCCTGGCCGGGCCGCGGATGGACTGGGCCTTTGCCTCCCAGCCCGGGCTGGCTCGGGTTTCAAAGGCCTGCGAAGGTCGAAGTACCCCCAGGCTTCTTGAATCGGCCGAGCCGCAGCCCGGAACCCCTGCCGCGGGGCGCCGGGCCTGGCTTGACCCCTGCGGGCTCCGGAGGGCAGAACTCTGGGGACCGGAGGAGGGGGAGGAGGGCACGTGTGGTCGTCTCTGACCCGGGTGATGCCGATCACTCGCACGAAGTGCTTTCCTCTCTGCAGCCGGGTGCACGCTCAGGAGTGCAGGGTGGTTCCTGTTTTTATTTTGATCATCTGCCTTTTCAGTGTTGAGAGATTTAGAGGAAGGCTCCCCAAAATTTGGGTGTCGAACTGATGAGGACATGGACAACCCTGGATGGGCCGAGATCCGTTTACTGGGAGGGATTTCCCACCTCGATCCTTTGGAATAGTTGGACGATTTCATCCAAGTGGTTTGTCCCTGATCACACAATAAGTGTAGGGGGTGTTCTAGCAGAGGGAGGATAACTGCTGGTCTAGGGCATTGAGAACCAGCCTTTGGGAGTCAGGAGAGTTTTGTCCTCGATGCCCTGGAGTGACTTTATTCGAGTCATTTGCCTTCTCTGGAACCCAGTTTTCCTGTCTGTAAAACAAAGGGAGCTCCAAGGTCATTTCCAGGTTTGCAATTCTTTGGGGAGCTTTACAGCCCAGGGCTTTTTCCTCTTTTAACCTCGAAGGTAAAGGGGCACCTTAGCCTGACCTGAAAGGATTTAAATTTGGGGGGAATTGAAGGGGAAGGGTAATTGTTTTCCTAGTTTCTGACTTTCAGATAGGAGAGGATGTGCTCTAGGTATAATGATTGGGATAGGCTGCTGGAGAAAGTGGGTCCTTGAAAAGGGATTTTTTCTGACCATCAAATTTCTCCTTTTATAGTTTAGATAGCATATTTCCTTTCTTCATCGTGATGGTGGAGGGTAGCTCACACCTGGTTATACAATGCCTCAGGTAAGATGAAAAGCTTCAACCTGTGGTTAAAGCAGGTTAGCTTGACTCCAGGAACACTGGTTAGTTTAGGGAGAATTGTGTTAAAAACACTAGGTATATTAGAATGTTAGAGAGAAAGGAAGCTTTAGAAGTCAAATGATTTAAACTTGTTTTATAGATAGGGAAACTGAGGCACAGAGAAGGGAAATAATTTGGCCAAAATTATACTACTACTCAGCAGCAGACCAGAACTCATTTGCCCTGACCCTGAGGCTATTGTTTTTCTGTTGTACTGTATTACTGTTGATTGAAGTTCAAAACGCTAAGATAACCACTGGATGACGCAGGAAAAATGACTGTTGGTGGAGTTGGGTGATTGTGTTACTGGGGCTCTTACTGCTACAGCTCGAATCTAAATAATCCGAAACTATGAGTTGTCCCTATTCTGATAATTGATATGTTGCTATGTCTAGCAGTGTTTTCCAAAGAAACTTTGGGTTATCAGTACCACTTGTTGGTGAACATCTAAGTAACAATATAATTTGTTCTTAAACAGTAACTATGACCATGTAGTCTTAGAAAATATTTCCCATAGATTTTGGAGATGTCTAGGGGCAGGTCTACATGAATTAATATTGAAGGTTCTTCAGAGAACTCTCCAGTTAGGTTGGATTGGTCATAGGATGGATTTGATTCAAATTAAATTGATATAAATTACTAGTCACAATTTTTTTCCTCCCAGAAGTTTATTTTCATTTAGTATATAATGAACACATATCCACATCAACTCAAATTATAGTCCGCTAGAGCTCAATGACCTTGAAAGTCATTTAGTCCAACTGTTTAACATGACATGGAGTTCGTCCGTGTAAATAGCCAAAGTAAGTAGTGATAGAGCCAAAATTAAATTTTAGTTTCTTTTCTGAAAAGATATATATCTTAAAAAAAGTATTTATCTACATTTTACAACAGTGATTTACCTGAATAATTTTTCATTTTCAGCAAATGATTTGTTTCAATGCCAATTTAAATTATTTTTGAAATTATTGCAGATCATTTCCAAGCCTTTCTGTGGACCACAGATCTGGGGAATAATTTTGCCAAGCTAAGTTATAAAAATGACAACATCAGTGACACTTCAAAATTGTTTGATTTTTTTTTTAAAGGAGTTTGTGTATTGTGGATATGTATTTTCTTTGACAAGCAGTATTTTAGCCAAAAACATATGTTTTGAATTTGATTGAAGATTCATCATTTTTGGCTATTCAGAACAGAGCCAAAAATGAAGGAGTTGGCAAACAAGGTATTTGATCAACCACAATAGATTTTGCCAAGCCCATTTTACTCAATACAGGGCTTCTTGCTCCGTACTCAGATATGATTTAACTCTTTTTTTGGGCGTTACTCTAATAATCTTGATAATCTAACTTCTTACTGGGCGGCAGTTTAGAGGAATTACTAATGGAATGCAGGAACACTGATAATAGCAAGAAGTGGCAGCTGACAGTAACTGAAAGCAAACCTTCTGGAAACTACAAAAAACAAATAGGAACTCAGAAAAGTAGGAGCCAGAGAGCAGACCATCAGACTCTGACTTGATCATCCCTTATAGCATCATTGTACTATAGTATGACATTCTTCTTTTACTGTAATGATCCTAAGTGATTTTCAGAAGGTTGAGTTTTGTTCATTGCATTCTATTTAAGAATACAGGAAAAAAGATGCATTTATAAAGGATTTCCATCGAAATAGTTACAATTTTAAAAGAAGCTGGCAATTCAAGGGAAGGGAGAAAAGAATAAGCATTTATGTTATGCCTACTGTGTAACAGACACTTACTCAGCACTTTACAGATTAATCCTTACAACAACCTTGCAAGGTAGGTGCTATTATCCCCATTTTACAGATGAGGAGACTGAGGCAAAGAGGTTAAGTGACTTGCCCAGGTTACACAGCTAGTGTCTTAGCGTGGATTTGAACTCGGTCTTCCTGACTTCCAGGTCCAGCACTTTATCCACTGCACCAGAATCCCCTCCCTTGTCTTCTGTTCTTTTTCTCCTTTCTTTGACCCCTGCCTTCTTTCACATTCTCTTAATATTCTCTCTTCTTTTTCCTTCTTTAATTTGTGAGCTAAGCGACAGCTCTGATTAAGATAGCTGTGATAGGTGCTTTTTTTCAGAAAGTTCAAATACCTTTTTTGGAAAAAGGATAGTAGTACATTTAAAATTGAAACTAGATAGGATTCTGGGAAGATGGCTGACTCCACAGAAAAAGACAGAACTTTGCCTCACAGGGAATGTAGAGCAGTGGAAATAGACAAGAGTTAGGGTAAAGCAGTTGTTCTCCTAAGACTACCCAAGGAGACCCCAGGAAAGACCTGACCTGGGGCAGAGGTTCAATCTGACTGAAGTGAAAATGTCTCCAGGCCAACTTTGCTGAATCTACAGACAAGAAGCGCTGGGGGAAGCTGGGGTTGGGAGGCAGCCTCAGCCTTAGAAACTTTAATCTCAAGGACAGTGTTGGGGAAGTGGATCTTCTGGCTGAGGAGAAGACCATTGAAGGGCCTTCCATTCTTGAGGGATGCCAGGCACAGCTGTGTTGACCAGATTGGTTCTGTGCTGTGGTTGTAGGGAGAAGGAGCTAGCACACACCTGCTAAATTCAGGAGCAACAGGGATCCTGCTGGCTGTGAGCACTTGCAAGAGAGCAGAGTCCCTGGTTTCAGGGCAGAGAGGACAGCTGTAGTTTGCAGCCACCAGAGAGACCACAGACTCTGGTCATGGCTTAGGGAGTGGAGAAGACAGAAAATAACAGTAAGAAGGACTTGAGGCTTGGGGCATCATTTCCCATGCTTTGGGACTAGAACTTGATTACATTAACAGCTGCTAAAAATAAAACAAAAAAGTAAAAATGAGTAAGCAAAGGAGAGAGAACCCAACCATAGATAGCTACTCTGGGGATAGAGAAGATCTGGGTTCATATTCCGAGAAAGATAATGGAACTTTAAAAACTACTCCTTTTTCAGTGAGAAACGTCAAATGGTCCCTAGCACAAAAAGGACTTTAAAAATCACATAAGAGAAATCAAGGAAAAATTAGAAAAAAAAATTAAGAGCAATCCAAGAAAATTTCAAAAAGAAAGTTAACCAAGTTGAAATAGAGACTCAAAAACTTATGGAAGAAAATAATTCCTTGAAAACTAGAAGTGGGCAGAGGGAAGCTAATGATGGTATAAGACACCAAGAAATAATAAAACAAAATCATAAGGATGAAAAAATAGAAGATATTGTGAAATATCAGAAAACCAATCTGGAAAACAGATTGAGGAGAAATAATGTAGGAATAGTCGGACTGCCTGAAAATTATGATTAAAAAAAAGAATTTTGATACATTATTACAAGAAATTATCAAGGAAAATTGCCCTGAAGTTCTAGAACAAGAAGGCAGAGCAGAAGTGGAACATATCCATTGATCACTACCTGAAAGAGATCCCAGGAGGGAAATTTACAGGAATATTATAGCCAAGTTTCAAAGCTCTCAGGTTAAGAAGAAAATATTGGAAGCAACAAGAAAAAAACAAATTTTGTGGAGCTACTGTAAGGATTACATTATTGTGACACAGCAAAAGGGAGCCGCGTGCATTGAAGAATTAGTACTAGACAAAGACTGAAATAACAAAACCAGTCAGGGAAAAAGAAGACTGCAGGTGCTTGCATCACATAGGCCCCAGATACTGTGGAACTTTGATGAGAAAAAAGAGGCAAGGGAGGTGGACTATCCCTTTTATCGTGTCACTAAACCATGTGAGAAAACCATCATTACCAGTGACTCAAGTAGGTGAGAGCTGCTGCTGACACCAAAGCTTATGTCTCAGTACCCTCCTTTACCATCACTGGAGAAAGACTAGATTTGGAGACTTACTGCCTGCTGTATGTGGAGGCACAATTTCATCATTAAACCATCTGCACTGCTCTTTAACTATCAGATGCCCAGGTACCAGGCTTTTTGTTGTCAGGACGTGGAATAGAGAACTAGGTCCTCAGGTATCAGGCCCAGCCAGAAACCAAGAGGATGCAGCACATGTTCAGGATTTGTGTCATCTTGATTTATAGTTTTTCATCATAGATAGTTTGTCCTTCAGCTAGTTTATGGGTAAGTAGTCCTTTTTTAGTTAGTCTAGGCCAGCCACCATTTATAGCATTTCTGTGGGAAAGTGTGTTCTGAACTGCAAACAAATGAACTTTTGTACCACAGCCTGCATGTGGTGGGCCTCCTTTGTACGAACATTGATGGGAACATGTACAGCTTTTTGTCTCGCTCAGGCTGTAGCATAATTTGTACACAGCAGGGAGTCAAAAGACCTGGGTTCAGGTACCGGCTCTGCCACTTAACTAATAATGGGATCAAGGGCCAGTCACTTAACTCATTTTCCTTATTTGTAAAATGAAGATCATAATACTTGTTCTGTCTGCTTCATAGGTGGTTGTGAGGAGTATACTGTGTAAAGTACTATATAAATATGAGCTGTTATTATTTTTGTAGCAGATGTTTAGTAAATGTTTGTATGAATGTTGTGCAGCATCCCTGAAATCTAGTTAGGTAGTAATAAGATCTATGACAGCAGTGATGTATCATTGTATTAAAGCACATACCAAAATGACTGGTTGTAGTAACTTTATTTAAAGTAAAAAGGAGGCAGAATTTGGTTTTTAATGAAGGTAGTGGCTGTGTTTCCTAAGTCAGAGAACTATTTTGCAGAGCAGTACTCTCTTGAAATTATTCTATTTTGGGCCCAACTTGTCTGTTAGACTGTCTAAAGCAGTTTAAATATAGTGATGGATGAGCGCTATACATTGTCTATCTTACTGCCAGTCAGATTGTGGATGGTGAACATTCTTCATCTCCTTAGTTTTTCTTGTGCAGATCATAATAGACTAAGTCAGCTTTTGGAAGACTGGCCTAGTTAAGTTCAGAGAGGCTTGTCATCAGCAGCCTGGCCGCTTGGTAATGATTTATTTGGCCTTGGCAGCTCTTCTCACTGGTAGAATATTGGTATTAAAAAGATATTTGAATTCTTTAATGGCCACCATTCTGCCCTCTTTTTTAGCTCAGAGCATGAGGGCGGTGGAAGAATTGTCGCTTCAAACCGGGGAAACCTAGGAATGGGAATTGTAGGTAAGACATGGAGACAAGGGACTGTAACTTTAAAAAAAAATAAGAAGATGGTGACCTTTGGTAGTAAAAGTATTGCTTTCATTGTTTCGTTGGGTCTGACTCTTTGTGACCTTGCATGGGGTTTTCTGGTAAAGACATTGGAGAGGTTTACCAGTTCCTTCTCCAGTGGATTAAGGCAAACAGGTTAAGTGACTTGCCCGAGGTCAGACACTAAGTGTCTGAAGCCAGATTTGAACTCAGGTCTTTTTTGACTCCAGGCCTGGCATTTACCCATTACACCACCTAACCACCACAGTAAAATTTTGTTGGACCTCTAAAAATTTATTGTGGATGGAAGCTGGGAAAGAATGTCTTTTTGGTAGATACGTAGGATAGCTATACCATGAGTGAAGTATATACATTTCTCTTTGATGCCTAGTTAGAAACTGGGATGGTCTCATGATGATGTATCCCTTTCTTAAGAGAAGCATCCAATTGTAGTAGAGCAAGCATTGGACTAGTAGTCAAGCAACTTTCTAATTTTGGTTCTACCACTAACTTGGTGTGGGGCTTTGAGCAAATCTTCCCCTCCCCGGACTTCAGTTATCTTTTCTTTAAAATGAAGATATTTGGATGACTTATGAGCTCCCTGTCAAACTCTGATGGTTTTTTATTTTAATTTTTTTGTTTGTTTTTGGGAGGCAGTTGGGGTGACTTGCTAAGGGTCATACAGCTAGTAAGTGTCTGAAGTCAAATTTGAACTCAGTTCCTCCTCACTCCAGGGCCTGTGCTCTATCTGTTGTGCCACCTAGCTGCCCGATTTTAGTATTGTTTTAAGGATTCAGATATCCAATGTGATATTAACCTCTGTGCTGATTCCTTCTCTGTAAATTGGGGTTTGATCTACCTTATAGGATGCTTGTGATGAATATGCATCATAAACTTAAATCACTAGACATGTGAATCATTATTAGCGTGTGTACGTGATACTGTTTGTAAATTTCTTCACAGTTAGACAACATGGGATTCTAAAATAAAGCCCTAACACATTTGTGAAAGAGAGCCACATGTTTGTAAGTTTCCAGTGGTTTATTTCAGAAGTACTATTAAATGAGTTTGCTGTGCTTTTTACCTTGTTCTAGGTTTCAGGGATATTCCTACAGCTGAGCCGCCAATATAGTGACTTGCCCCCTCTGACACTGGAGAGTATTAAGGACCGTGTCCTCTATGTCTTGAAACTATATGATAAGATTGATCCAGAAAAGGTAATTGGTATATTTGGGGAAATTGTCCCTTGGGGTGTTGACTTTTTAATGACTAAGCTAAATGTCGTAGTTATGAGAAACATTTTGAATTTGAAGGTTCTTTAGTCTGAAGACTAGCCACTATAACTGAGGAAAATGGATATGACTTCTTAGTGCCAGTAAGGTTTGCGTCAGGGTATCAGAAACCAGATTTCCCCTTTACACCTTTAAATAACAGCATATTCAGAATTATTTGCAAAATCATGACTTTATGCAAAATGGTGTTACCAAGAGTAATTAGGAACAGAGTTCCAAGCAGATTAGTGGTTAGGGGTTAACACCATTGGGTCATAGCTGCTGGTTCCTGCTGCCCAATTCAGGTCCTTGGTGATCAGGTGAACAATGTTACGCTTGGGTTTCATAAAATTATAGTAGGATTTAGTTATAAAGTATCAGTGATGCTATATTGAAACAACAGTGCTGGTCCGGAGTGTATTTTACACAGTGATTGACACATGGTACCCATGTTTTTATGCAGGGAAACTATAAACGATGTCCTTGATTGGTGCGATATTCCCTGCTGATTATATTTTGGTCTTCATTTTTCTCAGCTCTCAGTGTCTTCCCACTTCATGAAAGATCTGGGCTTGGATAGTTTGGACCAAGTAGAGATTATAATGGCCATGGAAGATGAATTCGGTAATAAATCCATGTACTGTAATGTATTATCTGCATGGTTGGTGTATGATTTGTATTGTCAGGTAAACCCAGAAAAGGACAAAATTATGAACTGAGGGTTTGATATACCGTGTTGCTCTTTCCTGGAAGTATTGATAGTGAGTCACTTAATTGAACCCCAAGAGGGCACATAGTTTACCTAACACCAACTAAGGGACTTTAATGATCACGTGGATATGGCCTATCTGAGTGTGGAATTTGTGCCCTTGAGAACTGAAGGTGGTGTATCAAAGAGGTGGGAGGTTCAATGATTGTAGAGGCAGATAAATTCACAGTGCCTAGCACCTTAACATTTTGAGTTCTGAATTCTCCCTCCTGCTCCTCTTCCCCCATTGAGAAGGCAAGTAGTATATTACTTATACATGTGAAGTTATAGAAAACATTTACATATTAGCCATGCTACCAAAAAATAATAAAAAGCAAGAAATACAAAGGGAAAAAAGGATGCTTCAGTTTGCACTCAAGAGTTCATCAGTTAAGAGCATTCTTTGTAAAATAAGTTTTTATTGATGTCTTCAGTTTCTTGTATCATTATAGTTATTCCCAGGATTCTTCCTTCTCCCCTTTCCAGAGAGCCATCCCATATAACAAATATTATTTGTTAAGGAGGAAAAAAAAAAATTAACACACCTAACCAGTGTATTGAAAAGACCAAAAACATGGGCAATAGGTAACACCTGTGGACAGTGTCTTCTCTTCTCTTCATTCAAGTCATGCTTGTTCTTTATAGTTTTGTTTCATGTACTTTTAATTTTTTGCTATGTGATTGTTCTTTCTGTTTACATGTTGTAGTTATTGTGTGTATTGTTTCCTTGACTTTGCTTACTCCACTTTGCATCAGTTCATATAGACCTTTCCATGCTTCTCTGTATTCATCTCATACAATAATTTGTTATAGCACAGTAATTTTCCATTTTCTTTCATTCTCAGGGTTTGAAATTCCTGACATAGATGCTGAAAAGTTAATGTGTCCCCAAGAGATTGTAGATTACATTGCAGATAAGAAAGATGTGTACGATTAAAGTTTTTTTTTTTAAATCAAGTAAGTAATTTATCTTCTATAAAAGATGGTTTTCCACGTAATCAGTCTGTATGCACCTTTTCACATAAAACCAGAGTCTGACTGGAACAGTGTAAATGTCCGTTGTGCATTTTCACCAGCATAATATTATGGGAGGAGCCCTTGACTAGGAATTGGAAGCCCTGGGTTCTAGTCTTGACTTTAACCCTAGCTAGAGATATGACCTTGGGCAAGTTATTTTCCCTTCTTGGATATCAGCTACCATGTTTGTAAAATTAGGGAGTTGGACTAGATGATCTGTAAGGCCCATTCGATGCCAATACTCTTTTAAGTTCAGAGAATTATAAAATTCTAGCTTTAGTGGTGCTAGTGATTACATTAAATTCAGTAAACATTGTTGAGCATTTGCTTTGTATGAGAGAATGTACTAGATGAGGGAAATAAAAAACCAAAAAAACCCTGTTCTCTTTGTTAACCTAGATTAGGAAGGTAAGAGTTCTGAGTTGGAGTCAGGAGAGATATGGGTTCAAATATCACCTCTGACACTAGTACTTTTGCCATGGGCAAATCATTTTTAATATTTCAGAGCCTTTCCTAAGCTATAAATTGGGGATAATATAGGAAGTACCTACCTTACAGGGTTGTAAGGGTCATATCAGAATGCATATAAAGCACTTTGTAAACATCAAAGGACTATAGAAAAGTCAGCTCTGTTACCAAGCAGAATATAAGTTTATGGCTTATTACTAATGCTTAACTCAGGCTCTGTCAGATCTAATGTTATATTATTCTAAATTTGCTGAAAATTTTTCATTTTTAACTGACAGTTCTTTTTTACACAGAGAACTCGGATGATCCCAGCGAGTGTCTGAATGTGAGAACACATTGTGAGACCATTGCTGCTTTTGTCAGAGTGTTGCTGTTGGAACTATATTTAAGTTGTCTAAATATGTGTTGGCCTTTAAAAAATAAATATATAAAATCAATATTCTCAGGTCTTGATTCTTTGATGCTTTTGCACATAGAGTACTGCCTTCATATTGATTCTGTTTAATGTTTTCAAAGAGATCTCATTGTTAAAAGAACATTTTTGTCAGATACAAATGGGTTTTCTGGAATTGAATATTTGCATCATTCGTTCCCAAACTCATGTTTTCTCTTTAGTTCTCTGAATAAACATAAAGGGTTTGTTTCCAAATTTCTTTGTTAGGTGTACAGTTTCATTTTCTTCTGGAGTTAAGTAATATGAAAGACTGGTCTCTCATTCCCATCCAAAGGATACTGTTAGGCATAATTTTTACACATGCCACTTTGCACCTAGAATTTTGAATGAATCTTGGTAGTTGGTTACTTTTTGGGGACTGTAATTTGAAGGGGTGAGAGGACTCCAGATCATACCATGCATTGATTGGTCAGATGAACTAGAGTTATTTGACTTTAAGAAGACCAGACTTAAGTGAAATGTGATCATTGTCTTTCAATATTTGGAAGACAGTTCTATGGAAGTATGATTAGACTTGTTTTCCTTGGCCTTAGAAAGCAGTACTAGGAACAGTGCATGAAAAGTTACAAAGGCAATTTTGGTTTGATTATAATTTGATATTACTGTCAAAAATAAAAAGTGCTGTCTTAGAACATAGAGTTCCTCCTTATTGGGAGTTTTCAAGCAGAGCTTACATATCTGCTTGGGGATGTTGTAGAGGGAATTCCTTTTCAAGTACAGGTTGGACAGATGATTTCTGAGATCTCTTTCCACTCAGAGGCTCTCTGATTTTAAGGATAGAAGGCATTCTGGGAAGAGTCACAGCAGGAGCAAAAAACTTGGGGCTGAGAATCAGTGGGTGAGTTTTGGGGGACAGTGAAAAAATACACCTGGCAGGAGATAACTGTGTAGTCAGTGGAGAGTGCCTTGAATGTTTAGTGATTATTGAGATTAGTTTTGTCAGCTTGGAGCAGAGACATTAAGAGGAAGATCCCAAGGTGATAGCACTTTCTTATAGCATAGTTTGCATCTAAATATTGGTTTAATAAAAATATCCCCAAAGGAAACTGAACCTGACCCTATGGAGTCCTACTTATTCAGAAGAGCCTGTCCCGGGTCCTGATGAGCTCTTCAATGAGGGGTCGTTTGGGCAAGAACTGCTATCATATTTAGGTATGTTGCTCTTTCCTATGTTTCCTTCCTTGGAGGCAGAAATACTGGATAGACTTCTTTCTTTTGCACAGTTGAGAGTACATTGCAGAGGAAAGGATCTAGATTTCAATTCAGTTTTTGTCCCCTGCTAGCCTTGTGACTTTAGACAAGTTCCTTCGTTTGTGGGTCTGTTTCCTTTTTGTAAAGAAGGGACAGGAATTCCTGCCCTTGGAGATTTGCATGGGGCAACTGCAGAATTGTATTGGTAGAAGTAGTTTCATCACCTAGAGCTCCTTGCAAAGATGAAATAACAGCTCTAGACAAAAAAGCCAATAACCTTTGCTAAGGGTTGTCATGGGGTTGTCACAGAATTGTAAGAATCAAACGAGAGAGTGGGTATAAATTGCTTCCAAATTATAACAAGTAATACACACGTCAGTAGTTACTGTAATTTCTCTTCTAAAAGCCTATCCAGTAGCATCAGTCCCAAACCTTTGCTCTGCCACGGAACTGTGTTTCCTAGAGCAGATGACTGCATCTCTCTGGCCTGAGTTTCCTTGTTAATATTGTAAGAGGTTAGACTAGATGACCTCAGGAAGGGACTTGATTCCTTCTAGTTCTATCTCTGAGCCTATAAACCACGAAGGCTAGTGTTCTGCAGTACTGATTCTAGCACTAGTTATCTAATTGTATTATTTCTAGAAAGCTATTACCGACTTATTTTTGAAAAAAAAAGGTTCGATTTCTACCTCACTATTTTTGCAAATATAAGGGGGAGGTAGATCAGAGGATTCCCTGATTCAGTTGAGGAATTCCCCAAACAACCTGATGACTACAGTGTATGGGCCATTATTTACAAGAAGAGTTATTAATCAGGGGTCCTTGAACTTATTTTTAAAAAAATATTTAGATAATTCTTTAAATGTAATTGGTTTCCTTTTTCCACTATTTCTTGGTTCTCTTCCTACCTATCTGACCCCTTCTCAGTCTCCAGGTCACACTCAGTAACCATGGTTGTCCTACATATTCTGTTCTGGGCCCTCTTCTTCCTCTCTTCTGCTTTACGTGGTGATCTCATCAGATCCTAAGGTTTTAGTTAACATCTCTATGCAGATGATTCTCAAGTCTTCCTTCTCAGCCGACACCCTTTTGCTCCCCATGTTCTTCGGTGCGGTGACTTCTTGCTGTTTCACAAACAAGAGACTCCATCTCTTGGCTCTGGGCATTTTCTCTTGCTGTCCCTCATACCTGGAATCCTCTCCCTCTTCATCTCCTCCTCCTGCCTTCCTCTGAGTCCCAACTAAAACTGCACCTTGTCTATGAAGCCTTTGCTAACAACCCCTCTTCTTCCAGAGACTCCCCTCTGTTATTTCCTGTTCATTTTATATAGTGTGAATTGCCTTTTGCTTTTTATCCCCCATGCTTAGTACAGTGCCTGGCGCCATAGCAGGTACTTAATAAATGCTTGTTGACTGATCTTTGTAACACTGTGTACTTTATGAATCTAAAAACATTATTCTGAGGAATTCATAGGTTTCAGCAGATTGCCAAAAGGGTCCATGACACAAGTTTAAGAAACCTGGGATTTATAAGTAGCTAAAGGGCATTTTCCCCAGGTAGGAATGTGGGTATGCCCATAGACATTTTACTAATAGAACCTAAGGGAATGCCGAATGACAGGCTGGCTGATCGGTGCTCCCTCCTTGACCCTATAAAAGCTGGCTGGTCATACTCTCTAGGATTCCCTCTTTACCATTTCCCTTGTGCCCCATTGTTCTGGAATGAAGCAAGGGAATTCTCCCCTCCTCCCTCTCCTCCCACCACAGCAGTGGTACACCGGAAGCACATGGCAGTGGTGGACAAGGGCTTTCCCTTGCTATTTCCTAAACCCTAATCTCCAAAGCAGGGCAGGAGATTTTTCATTCCTGGCAGCGTAATCCCCCAAATCTAACATAGCCAGAGAAGGGAGATTCCTGGACAGCATCAGTTTTCAAAGTTGCTTTGTGAGTAACTCCCAAGTTTAAATGTTCCCGAATTTGAGAGTTCAGATGCTGGACCTCACTGAAAAAGATTTGCTGTTGCAGCATGCTCCTTGGAGAAAGTAGGGGATAATAATGCATATAGTTCCCACATAGTGTCCTACTTAGCAAAATCAGTGACATACTGGGGCAGCAAAGGTCTGATGGAAAAGCTATATTGCTTGTTCAACCTCCAAGTGTATTTACCCTTCTGAAGGGAGTTTAAACCATACAAGGCACTATGAGGAGACTCAATGAGTAGTATTCTGTGGGAAAGTGGAACTTGCCAGACTGGCAGACGGTTGCCCCAACACCCAATCTAAGTTCATTTCCATTCTAGAGAGAGCTGTGTTTTTCTATTTGTTTGTGGGTTCCTCCGCACCTTATTCATTTTCTGTGGTGGGTGGCATAAAGGCTGCGCAGTATCCAATACGTGTGTTGTAACACACTGAGTGCCAATGCACAGAAATTGGGTGCTCTGCCATCTACTCTTGGGGAAACCTGGAGATAAGCTATACCTAAACTCTGCTTTGGTGATTTTCTTAGATTAGTTCCAGGTAGGAGCAACTAACCACGTGGAGAAACTCGTGGCTCCTGAGGTCAGACTTCGTGTTTGAATCTGGTCTTTTTGAGCCCAGAGCTTTAGGGGATTTCTGCAGACAGTAGGGAAACACTTCAGAAACAATTGGCAGAGGGCCACTGTTGCAGTTTGAATTTGTGACAGTGTCATGTGAAGTGGTTTCTCTTGTTATCTTTTGAGATCTGCTTGACCTAGGATAACTTGGAAAGTGCTTCTTAAAGATGTTGTTTTTTAGAAGGAATGTGAGTTTTCTCCTTTTCTCCTTTTTCACACGAAAGCAGATAACTAATATCTAAAAGTCCTAACTTTGTCTTACGAGTTTGGATTAGTGAGATAACCCTTGGATTTCAGGTGATAAATGCCTTGTCTCTGTGAGCAGTGTCCTGTTATATTTATATGGTTATCTGTGTGTGTCCTTTGAAATTGTGGTTTGTAGTGCTAGAAATATGACACTTTCATAAACATATGAACTTGACTTAAGTTCCAGGCAAAATTCTAGAATATTTTATCAAAAGGATGGTTGTGAACCACCCCTTGAAAGGGAAATGGTGTTCACTACTAGTCTGGATGGATTCATGAAGAACAAGTCAAGCCAGACTGTACCTTAATGAAATTTTGTCTCTTTTCCAAGGCCTAGCACAGTGCTCTGCACATAGATAGTTAAACTGAGTTCATAAACCTAATTTCCTTTATTGATAGTTACTAGAGTGAGAGGTGGAGAGAATGTCAAGCGTGCCATATATTTGGATAAGGCAAATATGGCTCTCATTGTAGACAATGGAGATGGAAAGAAGGTGGGAGTACAGCTGGAACTGGTTGAATGACTAGACCTAAAGAGTGGTGATTAAGGGACTTTTTTTTTTTTTAGGGAGGTCTCTAGTGAAGGACTACAGGGCTGTGATTTTGGATGTATGCTATTCAACACTTTTTATCAGTGACCTGGAGGAAATTACAGAAAACGTATTTATCAGATTTTCAGATGACACAGCTCAAATGCATAACTAATGTATGAGAGAATCATTATCCAAAAAATTATCAACAGGTTGGAAAGACAGGCTGAGTCCAATAACTCCATTAAATAATAAAAATATGCAGTCCTATACTTGGGTTAAAATAAAATTCTCAAGTACCAGAGAGGGTGGTATTTTTCTAGGTAACGATTCATGTGAAAAGGACCAGGGTTTTTTAAAGGACTATGAGGTGGCAGCCAAAAAAAATCTAATTTTAGGCAGCAGTATTAGAAGCTAAATGTTG